GGGTAGCCCTGCCCCTTGACAGGTGCTCTGCCCCCTGGTCACCATCTTGGGGGCTGTGAGCAGCTACAGCGTGGGGCGGGGGAAGGGCCTCTTTCCTCCATGCCAGGTAGGAGCCTAGGGAAAAGCTGAGCGGGGTGGGAGGTAGGGAGCGGTCCCTTGCCTGCCCCGTGGCCGGTGCTCCCTGCTGCAACCACTCACAACCCATGCGGGGCTGTCTGGAGCAGGCACAGGCAGCCTCACGTGGGCTGCGAGTGGCTGCAGCGTGGAGCGCCAGCCACGGGGCAGGGGAGGGGCTGCACCCCCCCCCCAGAATTAATTTTTCCCTGGGCCACTTTTCCCTGGGCTCCTTCCCTGCCCAGGGTCCTCCCCTGCCTTCCCCCCCACCTCCCCCTTATCTGCACTTCCAGCATGGGGCAGCCACGTGCTCCCAAGCCAGAAGCCCTGGCTGGGGCTTTCTGGCTGGGGGGGCAGGCCAGGTAGGTCTTGCTGTTGTGGGAGCCCTCTGGGCTTCCCCTGGGTCCTACTGCCCTTGGTTCTTGTAAAAAAATGACAGGAACCAAGGGCAGATAAATATTAACTTTCTAAATTTTTTAGGGGCCTGCGGGCGGGATAGAATGGTCTTGCAGGCTGGATCTGGCTTGCAGGCCATATTTTGCCCACCCTTGCTCTAGCTGGTTCTGTAGCCAGAGCCGTAGAGGGAGTGGTGGCTGGGTGGAAGCCCCAGGGCTACAAACTAACCCCTAGTGGGCCACAATTGGACAGCCCTGATGTAGTCCAGTTTCACAAAAGGTGGATACGATCTAAAACATCTTATCATCTAGACCTTGTGCTTAAAAAAGAAACGTTCTCTTTCTGAGGAATTCTATCCAGTGTGCATTTTCCATCTCTCACTTCTCTGATTTATGCTTGTGGTGAGGCACCAATAAAAGCTAACCCTTGGAAAAGTAGTACGCATGTTACAGGTCTCTTGGGGAGCAGGGGGGGATTGGGGCCAGATTATCATATCTTTTAGTCCAGTGATTCTCAACCAGGGTGCCTTGAGATCCTTTCAAGGATGAGATGAAGTGCCACATAATGTTGGCACTGTTAGGTGTGGAAACATGATTCACAAGATTGAAACCCAGAGGTTTCAAATAGGAATCCATTGTCTAAACAGTGTTGTGGCCTTTCTGAGATTTTTGCAACAGAAGAATTGCTCTACTCTTTTTCTGTAGCCACAAAGAGGTGAAAACTAAGAGCTGGCACTTTCTGTGGGGAGTCTCGAGTCAAATGAGGGGTGCCTTGATTCTAAAAAGACTGGAAATCACGGCTTTAGTCTTTTACCCAGGCAAAACTTCCATGACATGTAGAGTTTTTACCTCCCTGGGTTAACATTTCACTATATGTCCATTTTTAAAGTGAGCTGATGATAACAACCAGTGACATACTCTAGAATACCTTCAGCACGCTGAATGATTTTACAGTAGTCGGTGTAGTGATCGTGGAATCATAGAAGTCGGGTCGGAAGGGACCTTATAGATCT